CAACTTTAACAAAATTCTCTTTTGAAGAATGACCTTTTCACTAGATTAACATCACATACGTGTACTTGGCAGTTGGATTTTTATCTATGTTAATTGTTTAGCTCGTGTACGTGCCAGATGTTCCTAAAGTTCCCAACAAGAGCGATGGAGATATATCATTGATGTTCATGTTTAGTACTTGGCTGTTGATATTTCGCAAAAAAAGTACTTAGCAACTGTTAGCAGTGATCGCATGGACTTATTATTTAAAAAAGGGGATAAACAATTGCTATTGCCATTTTTTGGCGTGATTGACAAATTTTCATTGTACTTAGGTTACTAATATACTTTCTTCAAATACTTCGTAGTAAACTTGGCCATGGACCTTCTTTTACGGGGAAAACTTCCGATCTATTAATCATCTGTCATAGCAGTACAGGAACATGAAAGCATTATGTAGGCATATAAGTAGCTCATACATGGTCAAGACTTGAGATTAATTACTTCCAGTGAGTATTAATTTATTTCCTCTTTTTCATATGGGAGATAAGAAGGTAAGAGTTACTCTGACCCACTATTTAATGAAATCAATGACTTGGATCTTACCTCTTATATGAAAAGATGAGGTAAGTGGGAACATGTTAAAACTGCTCGTATTGGCATTGTGTTTATCACTTTCTACCAGGTTTTGAATTGAGAGGAAGAATCTGATATAGTTAACAGTTACGGTCATCAAAATAAACATCTCATTTCCTAATGGCAAAGGCAAAGTATATGTTAACTACAAAGGCATCGAGATAGAGGGCCCTCCTCAGTGATGATCACTGCACATGGATCCTTGTACCTTCAAGCCTTAAAATTCCCAAAAGGTGCATCCATTGCTCCGCACATCTTGTCATCACAATTCAGCACTAATTCTTTGGCCCATCACATCGACGCTCAGTTGGTCCCTCTGGTTAATTAACTAACTAATCACCATTAGACAGGCACTTATAGATAGGAGTCCGTTCATCAGCCAACACATGTATGGATGCAGTTCCCACCTACCTAGCGAGTACTAGCAACCTTACTTAGCTTTGCACACACACACACGCAAACTATAGTAGCAACAATTGCTTAGCATCAAGAAAGCTATAATGTCGAGGCAGCAAGCGAGGAGCTCGAGCTACCGGAAGAAAGTGGCGGCGGGGGCGTCGTCTCACCACCACAACCACGGCGGCAAGGCGCACTACGGCCACGGCGGGAGACCGGCACCAAGGTGGCCTGCCAGGGTCATGGACGGGTTCAGGAAGATGCTGGTGGGCCTGTTCGCCTTCCCGCCGCGGCCGCCCAAGGTCACCTTCTCCGCCAATGGCAGGGGCGGTGGCGAGGACGCCGTGGCGCCCAAGAGGCCGTCGTGCAGCAACAGCTCCAACCTGCAGCCGGTGAACAACGCGCACTACGACGAGGCCATCTCTGACTGCGTCGAGTTCTTCCACCGCTCCGCCAGGGTGGACATCAGGTCAAGGCCGTCGACGTCGGCCCACTTCTGAAAAATTCCCATTGTCGTCGTCGTCAACTTCGTCCTAGCAGTTGGGATATCCCAGTTTGTGTGTGTGGGCATGTGTATATATGTGCACGTGTCTATGCAATCTAGATTAGGTTACTTAAATTTGCTCATGTGTGCGTGTCTCTCTGTCATGTTACTATGTTTTTTTTTTTGGCATCTGTCATGTTTTCGTATGTTACCGTGTTATTAGTACCATGGGCAGCGAGCGGGCCAACGGCCGGCTGCAGGTCAATGGCAATCAAGTATCAAAGTTGGTCGTTTTGGACGTGAGGATGTTGCAAGGTTCTAATGGGCTAGCGATAACTGTGCTATAACTTTATAGTAGCCTTCCTACGCAAAAAGATAAAATAAAATAAAAAACCTTTGCAGTAGCCTTTTAGACATGGATTGATAGAGAATGAAAATTAGGAACACAAGAGAATGAAATGAAATGGGAGACATCACCAGGGAGAAGAGTTGGGCGATGAACCATGGATTGATAGAGCGTCGATCCATGTGAGCAACCTAAAACACCACATGATCTCCGGTATCCCGACTCAGCCACGACAACCACACTAGGAATCAGATAGAGCAACGAGACCTCTATTTTGTGCCACATAGTCTCAACCAACAGGATGTTCTCACCATGGACACTAATAGATAACATAGACATGAATTAAACTCCATTTGAAACACTGATCTATAGTTCCCTTCCACTCTAGGTAAGCTATAATGGGCTATTTAAAACTTTGCACATAATTATATAAGAAAGAATGGCGAAGCTATAATGGGATTAGTTCCCTTCCACTCTAGGTAAGCTATAACGGGTTATTTAAAACTGTGTACATAAATATATAAGTAAGAATAGCCAAGCTACAATGGGTAAGAAACATTGATCTATATATATGACACCAGATTAGTGCTCGGTTTTGATGTTCGAACATGTGTGTATATGTCAAGTGAATGCGATACATATACGATGTCTGACTGTATTTTTATTTTTATTTTTTCATCATTTAAGAAAAAAAAAGACTAAATGAGGCTTAGCTTCGCTATAGCTTTACATAGCTTCTGGCTCAGCCACCGCTAAATGGCATAGCTAACTATCTAAAACATTGGATATGTATAATGATTATGTTATATATTAAAAGGATATATGCTAATTTATTGCCCTATATGCTCTACGTGATTTTCCTTCCTTTTATTTGCAAGCAAACATGGAAAGTCAATAGAACACATACCAAATTATGCCATTAGTACTATGGTAGATGGTCATGTTCTATGTGAAATATCGTGTTGCTACGGTATATTTATTTGAAAAAGTCACCTTTGATTATCGAATTTTGTTCGTCCTACTTGTATGAAAGCTATCTTGATCGAGATTGACTCGAGACTGTTACAAGTATAAAAACATTTTTACAACTCGATAAATAGGCCGAGGAAAATTATGATGCCAACTTATTGTATGAACCGGTCTATATTAGCATTGTACTAAAAAGTATGAGCGGTTTTCATGTATTTTTCCAATTTGAGAAAAAAAATACAATCTAAGTGTAAGCCATTTTCATAGATCGACAAATATTTATGATCGGCCAATGAAAAAGGTCATGATTTTAATTTTTAATACAATTTAATATATTTATTCATTTATATTAAATAAAATGGTGATGCTAACTTTAAGACAAATCTCCATACTATCTCACAACTATTTTGTTCCATACGAAAAAAATATTTGTTGTGAAGTGTTCATGACTATAAAAGGTGACATTCTTGTATTTTAAGAGAGATAATATTTTATTCTTTGTATTTCCATGTATTTGAAAATTAAATATGCGTGAATTCTAAAAAAATGCTCATGATCTTACCAAAAATATTTATGTATTTGCCACAATTAAACTGAAAAATAATTAATTTAATAAATATCTTTTGGAAAACTTATTTAGAATAAAAAATGAAAATACAAAATACAACATCTTTTTTGAAATACGTATTCAACATAAACACAAAAATAAACGTTTCAAATCCATAATGATGAAGAATAAGAAAAGAACATAATAAGGAGAGTAAAAGGAATATGAGACTGTCCGTTCGGGGACATCCGATAAAAAACAATATGAGACCTTCGCTAATAGGCTGGCCCAACTGCATATGGTGTCTGAAACGAGCGACGCAAAGATCCTATTCTTCACTCACTGCCAAGATTAGTGCGCAGTCAGTACAAATTGTGGAGACTACCGGAGAATTTCAGCATATTTTATCCGTTGGTCCTGCGGTTGAGCTTTTACTAGCAGGTTCTGCGTGTCTTTCATGGGTTTTATCCTATTTTTCATTGACCTTTTTATCATTATTTATATTTTTTATTTATTTATTTATTTTACAAATGTTTAAAAATTAAATAGTGTTTTAAAACAATATTCAATATTTTCTTAATATTGTGAACACTGTTTTAATTAATGAATATCTTCCTAAATACAACAACTTTTAAAGGTTTCCGAACATTTCTTAATTAATTAAATTTATTAATCCCTGAAATTTTTATATTTGTTGACATGTCTTAAACAAATTGACATTTGTGAAGTTCTTGATTATTTTCGAAAATTGAACTTTTTCAAAAATTATTTTTTAGTGTATATATCACAAAAATCAGCATTTTTTTGAGTAACTGGTTTTTCATCAGTTTTTTTCAGAGTAAACATCACATATATTTAAGGGAGTACCTAGAACTCATCTAGATGAGATATAATTTGGTCTCAGTCATTTTGAAAACAAGAACAGATACAACCCACGTCAGCACACACGTATCTTATAGCATCACATCCAATGGCTATAAATGGTGAATGAGACCAAATTATATATCATCTAGATGAGTTCTAGCAAAACTGTATATTTAATAGAACAACTTTGCAAAGAATAGCATTGTTTTTCCTCCGAGCAAGTTACCCATCCATGTGATTTAACATGTATCCTTCGGTTTGAGCAAAAGGTGAAAGCGCCTATCAACAACCTCACCACTCGCCTCTAAGTCTCATTGTATATTAACCCCGCAAAAAAAAGTCTCATTGTGTATTTGAATTCGCACTGATGAACCTCGGTAGAATAACTCCGTGATTTGTTTCCAAAAAAAGGAATTCACTTAGATCTAATTTTGCTAAATAAAACTGGGGTGCAAGGAATTATGAAAATATACCGATGTTTTTTTTCTTTTCAAATGGAAATACCTATCATGTATTTTTTTAGTAGGTACATAGAACGAAATTTGATGAACATAAAAGTAGTATGGAGTACACTAATTAAAACAAGTGCAATTTATACATATTGTCCATAGCAAATTCTGTTGCTTTTTCTTGTACCGAGAAACAAAAATATACATGCATGTGTTGCATGCTATAAACGTTTATTGATTCATCACTATCACCGAACGTTTACTCAAGAGACAAGATCCAAGGGCCAATTACCAACTCCTGCACGCACGCATCACGACGGACGTCATCGATTAGAAGGACGGGCGTGGCTTGACCGCCGACGAGCCATCGTCGGCACGGTGGCTGCTGGCCGTGGTAGCGGAGCTCTTCTTCTTCCTCATGAACAGTGCGCCCACCAGCGGGATCAACGGCTTCTTCTTCTTCTTCCTCCCCTCCTCCTCCTCGGCCGCGGCCGCCATCGCCTTCTTCACCGCCTCGTGCCCTGGCCCGGCCGACACCTGCCTCTGGAACCGCGCCTCACGATACTGCGGCCGCCCCGCCGCAGGCGCGTAATGCGGCTGCTGATGGCGATGCAGCTCCAGCACCACGTCCCGCGGCGGCGAGGGCGCGCGGTCGTACGCGGCCGCCGGTGGGTCGGCGAAGGTGACGTACCTCTTCTTCTGGAACTCAGCGGCGGCCGCCGCGCGGTTCGCTGCCATGGCTTCGTGGCCGTTGGCCGGCGGGCTCTGGTGCTGGTGCTGGTGCTGGTGGTGCTGCGGCTCGTCGGTCTCCATGAACTTGAGGTCCTCCACCTCGATGACCTTGGCGCGGGCGTCCTCGTCGCGCGCCTTGAGCTTCTGCAGCTCCCTCATGGCGCTGCTCAGCTCCTCCTGGAGGGACTGGATGCAGCCCGCCATCTTGTGCTTCTCCTCACGCTCCTTCTCCAGCTCGTGCTTTGCGTCGTCCAGCTCCCTCGTCGCCGGCGCTGCCGGCATGCGACGCGGCGGCGGTGGCGCCGCTACCATGGCGACGGCGGGGGCGATGGTGACGGCTTGGTGGTGAACAACGGGTCTTGGCGCTGCCGTCACTCGATGCTGCGTGATTGATGGGGGAGGCAAACAAGGATAGAGTCATGGCAAGACCAAAAAGAAGGATTTAATTGCACTGTTTGATGGAAGAATTGAACAAGAGTGCAAGTTATAGCAAAGCTATTAGAAAATTTCAAAAACAAAAAAATTGTTTTTTAACGACAAAACCAATTGAATTGTTGATATATGAACGATTTAACAGTTGAACTATGTAATCTTTTTAATCAAGTGTTAAGCCTCTTTTTTGGGATGTGTTAAACCTCAAGGACATATCTAACCAAAGTGCTTTTACATAAGTCTTTTTATTAATAATCGGTGATAAAAGAGAGAAAATATAGCATGTTGTAAACATTGCTTATACATGTTGAACATTTTATAGATACATGTTGAACATTTTATAAATACATGTTAAACATTTTTCCTAATACATGTTGAACATTTGTCAAATGCACATCGAACAATTCTAAAATACACGGCAAACATTTTTCCAACACACACTGAACAGTTACGTAAATGCCATGGACATTTTTTTAAACATGCGAAGCATTTTAGAAGCGTTGAACATTTTCTTAACATTTATTGGGCTTTTTCACAAATGTCATGAACATTTTTTAGAAAGGTGCAAAACAATTTTGAACTATTAGATTTTTTTTAATGTCAAGAACTTTTTGTATGGTATAAAACGTTTTTCCAAAATTAAAGGTACACATATTTACATTGTAGGGATATATTTAAAATGCTATGAACATGTTATTTTTAAAATGTGAGAATTTTTTTTGAATGTTATGTACACTTTTATACAAATAACATGAACAGTTTTTACATTACATGAAATTTATTAATGCATGGTGAACTTTTTGGAAAATTAAGAAAAGTAATTGTTAAAAAACAATATTTAGAATGTGAAAATAAAAAATGAACAAAATCAAAGGAATGAAAGATACGAACAAAGCAAAGCGACATGGGAGACGTAGATGCTCCTTTCTGCCCCTTGGACAAAGTTCCAATGTTAGTTTGACTACACGTCTACACCCATTTTCGAGACTTCGACACTTTATTTAGGTGAAAAGTGGTACGATTGTGAAATATAATTGTTTCTTATTTTTTTAATATAATTAGATATGCCACTCATTGTCACATATATGAACAAATATTTATATAATAGAAGAGTGCCAGGATGCATCACCCGCAAAAGAAAAACTAACACTGCCAGGATGCATGCTTTCTCTGCCACCTTGATCATCACAGTACCAATCAACGCCATCATCAAGCGAAAGTTCGGAGTACACCTTTTGTAGCTGCCTTAATTCAGGTGGAAGGAACATATCTCAAAGTCTTGATGCACACACTTTCCAATCTGATCCCATCAATCTAGCTAGCTTTGCCCTACTTTAGTTAACTACTAGTGTAATGAAACAGAGATTAAAAATGTTGTGAAAGTACATGGTTCTAGTATCTTTCATAGTCTCTGTGTTAGTAGGTAGGTAGGAGAGACACAGCATGCATATGCATGTTTTCCAAGAAGAAACATTGCATATACATGCATGCACCTCGCTGGCAAAGCAGGAGGCTGCTTTTTTGACACATATTTTTCGTGGGTTGGAAGAAAGGAATACCTAGCTAGCTAGAACACTTCATCTAACACTTTATCTTACAGTAATGTTAACCACCTTTTCAACCGTGCTCAAAACATTGAAGGGAAGAAGTATAGTAAGACAAGACGAGAGTGGATTTCATAAAATTCCAAAACTAAGCTAGTAAGTTTTTTTTTCTTTTTGAAAAAGTTCAAGAAACGGGTGCGTAGATATTATAGTGAGCCTTGCCCCAGCAAGTTCTCGTGGAAAAGGGAAATGCTTGGGTAGTTTGTTATTTTGCCCGCAGATGAATTACCATTTTCATGAAACTTGACACCTGGGAAGAACTCGGGGTCCTTTGCATGCGAGAGATTCTTTTTTAAATCTTTTGGATAAGTGGATTATTTTCTTGAAATGGGAGCAAATACACCGAGTACCTTAGAGCTTTTCCGACTAGTATGTACTACCTCCTCTCTTTTTTTGCGGGTACCTCGGTTTCAAATTGTAAGATGTTTTAGATATTTTAGATGGACTAAAATGAGTGAACAAATATGCCGTAACACACGTCTACATACATCTGATTCATAAATGACTTATGCAACAAAAGTATTTTAAACTTTTGCGTTTCACTCTCCAATAGCGTGCGCCGGAACTATATCACTGACTAGTTTTCTTGCCTCGCTAGCAAAGCTAGATTCAATCTTGCCGATGCAACGAATAACGCATAAACTGCTCTAGTCCCCGATGGCCGATACACGAACGAACACGGGCTAATTAAGTAGTACTACTAGCAAACTAATTAAGATGGTTCGTTGGATGCATGCATGCATGATGAACGAGCTAGGGGAGGTATCACGCACGCGTAATCGTACCAGCTGATCGGCGGCGGTGTTGGCGTCGCGGGGGGCGTGGAACAGGAGCTCCCCGGCGAGCACCCTCTCGCCGAAGAGCGCGACGGCCTCCTTCACCGACTTGAACGGCGCCCGCGTGTCGATCTCCGCCCTCCCCACCATCACCACGCCGCCGCCGCCGTGATCCATCGGCGATCGATCAATCAATCACTGCCTCTGCTCGATCAGCCCAACCGACCAAACGCAACCAGGGACAGGATGGATCGATCAGCTCAGGAATGCGGGCATGCACATCGGAGAATATATGTATGTGTGTATGTACTTGACGGATGGATGCAACTAAGTAAGATGAGACAAAACGGCAGCAAGATGGATGCAAGTGGGGATGTGGTTAGCGGCTGAGCTAGCTAGGGAAGAGGTTAGGACGTTGTTGTATGCTAGCTTGTGCTTGTGCTTGCCAGTACGGTACCATACGAGATGGCAATGTAGGGTTTGCATGTGGTGGTGGAGTGGAGCGGGGAGTGGAGGTGGGTTCGTTGCTTCGCGTCCACTTCACTGTCATATTCCCTAATCGTTGCGCTTCATTTGGTGAACGGTCCTGATCAAGCCTCTCCGCAATACATGGACATGCGTCCATGGCTACATAATACTCCTTTTTTTTTTGAAAAGGGGGGCTCCCCGGCCTCTGCATCAGAAAGATACATACGGTCATCTTATTAATCGAATAAAGTAGTGCCAACATGGTTCGAAAGGTCTTCAAAAGTAAAAAAAAGCACAAAAAGCTCATACAGAGCCAAAGAGGGCTAGAAACATCAACTAGCCAAAAAACAACGCCACAACCGGCTGGCTATAACTAGATAGGGATACTAAATGCCTATCCTATTACATGACCGCCATCCAAACCGGTTGAAAATATTCCGAGCTACCATCTCCCATCGGGAAGACGCAGTAGCCAAACGCTCCCTGGCCTCCGTCGGAGTGAGTAGCGACCACATACGGATGAACGCCGTGGCCCTGAAGATAACCTGCAAAAAGTGAATGGTTGTTGATCGGTTAAAGACTAAGTCATTTCTGCAGTTCCATATTGCCCATAAAAGTGCACAAACGCCAACCCGAATGTGTCTTGCATTGTCAGAATCCACCCCATCGAGCCATGTTCCAAATAACATGCTAATAAAGGTGGGCTGATTAATATTAAACGCAATATGAACCGACCGCCACAGAATCTTAGCCAACGGACAATCGATAAAGAGGTGTTTGATGTTTTCGTTATGATCACAAAAGCTACATCTAGACGAGCCCACCCAATTACGTTTTGCAAGGTTATCCTTAGTCAAAATGACTTGTTTATGCACAAACCATATAAACACTTTGATACGTAAGGGTACCTTAACTTTCCAAACATGTAACGAGGTAGGGATGACGGTAGAGTTAATGACATCCAGATACATTGATTTGACCGAGAACACACCGTTCTTAGTAAGTTTCCAATGCAGCTGATCTGGCTGTTGAGACAACCGGACATCCATTAAACGTCGAACAAGATGGAGCCAGGCCTCCCAACGATTTCCAACAAGCGTCTGTCTAAAACTGATATTGAGGGGAACGGATTGTAAAACAGTCGCAACATAGGCTTCTCTACGTTGGACAATGTTATACAAAGAAGGATATTGAAGTGCTAGTGGGGTCTCCCCAAGCCACGTATCCTCCCAAAACCTCGTAGTGGTACCATTCCCAACAATAAATTTAGTCTTGTTGTAAAAGAGTTGTTTAACTCTCATCAAACCCTTCCAAAAGGGAGAGTCAGAAGGCCTCACATTCACCTGAGCCAAGGTTTTAGCAAAGAGATACTTATTGCGCAAAATCTGTGCCCAAGTAGCATCCGTCTCAGATGATAGCTTAAAAAGCCACTTGCTAAGGAGACATATGTTTTTGACTTCCAGATTTTCAATTCCTAGGCCACCTTGGTCCTTAGGTCTGCAGATAATATCCCACTTCGCAAGTCTATACTTTCGTTTCAGCTCATCAATTTGCCAAAAGAAACGAGATCGATAGAAATCTAACCTTTTCCTAACTCTTAATTATACTACGTCCGTAACACCAAACGAAAGAAACATGCATATACGCATGGCACGTTAGTAGTAACATGTGTATATATATCTCGCAAGAGAACCACCATCGAATTGGTTGGAGGGTTAGGAGGGTATTATCTTCCTATCCAATGCAAATTATCCTTTTAGGAAGAGTCGACCTTCTCCTCGATAGAGAGGATGATACTAATCATTATTTTAAATAATCAGCTATGCAACGTTAAATTGTACATATTTCGCAAAAAAAAGAAGAAGTTAATTGTACACATTCTTTTGAGCGTGAGGCCCCTCCAGAAGCTATAGCGCAAAGATAACGCGCGGGCGATGCTATTTACTGGTGGCTCGGCCAAAAGAAATGAAAAGTGATAGCGAAGCTAAACCCCATTTAATGTTTCCCTTCAATCATGAAAAATTGGAGAAAATATAAGCATACAAGCGAGCATCATATATACTAGCTAGACATACGCATTTGAAGACATCAAAAGACCGGGCACATTTATCCAAACTTTGCATCAGCGCATCATATATATATCGAAAACAAAAAGGAGGAATGGGGAAGATGGATGGCTCTGTAGAACTCATTCGCGCCTCACCTCTGGCTATATATAATGGCTTAGCGGTGCTAAATGGCTATAAATTTAACGGGGAATTGGCGGCTTTTTAGCGCTAAAAATGCATAGATTTAGTGGGAGGGCTCTCCAAAAGCTATAGAGGGTTATTTGAAGCAAATATACGCTATCTTATGAGGTAGATGATTTTCAAAGTCGTATGTTTTCTTTTTGTTTGCGAAAAGGCCAAATGCAATGTATTAGAGCCAACCCACCCATACAATATTATCCTTGATTTTCTATAAAATAAAACACAGATCCTTAGGGAAAATCAAGGTCATCTTCCTCCTATACTCATCGACACTGTATCATGAGAAGTTCGATGTCACCTCTGGGCCACCGTGTCACCAATTGGAGCCAGGGAAACATTGTTTGAAGTAATATACCAGAAGACGTCGTCTATAGTGGTCTGAGAAACTGATAACTGCCCAGTAAAAGAAGGTGAGGGAGAAGGTCTGGATGAGCACCCAAATCTGCCTAGTTCATGCATATCAATGACCCAGAACATGTATACAGCTTCTAAATTAGCCTTCTTTGTGTGTGTTCTACATGTAGACGGCGTATGTTGGACGTGACAATGGGCGCGAGAGCGACGGCGCACCCACTTGACCCTTGGTCGGTCGTTGTATATAGCTTAGGCATGTACTCCCTCCGTCCTAAAATTTTTGTCTTAGATTTGTCCAAGTACGGATGTACCAAGTCACGTTTTAGTATTAGGTACATCTGTATCTAGACAAATCTAAGACAAAAATTTTGGGAAGGAGGGAGTAGATCGATGAGGCTCGAAGTGGCCACGCATAGATGCATGGGTCCATTTGCTTGCGAGCTGCACCCTCCAGGTATACATTTGAGAGTAGAGTAGAGTAGCTCTCAAGATCCACTACGGCCGCAGCTAACTTGGGATTTGGGGAACATGCATGTGGACAGTTGCTCAAATACAATATAGTGCTACTATTGCTTCATGCATGTCACTATCAGGAGACTGTCCGGTCTTGATCTTTCCCAGCTTGCAAGCAAGCAAGATTCTTCTGGAAAGGAAAAGAAAAAAAGGTCCTGAACAACACTAATATGGGCTCGAATTTTCTAGCATTGTGTCTAGGCACTGCTTGCTTCCAAGCAAGAAATATTAGCCTCTTGTAGCCCAACTAATCGCCATGTCTTTAGTTTTTTTCAGGGGTAATCACCATGGTTTTAGTATTATGTTGTTGTCTGGGTGTAGCTTCCTAGGCCACAACCGGGTGTTAGGCTCATCTTCTTCTGGGCTGGGCTGTTAATACTACTATGGGCTTATTGCGTATACTTGCTAAGAGGCTTCTGTCGGGCCGAATGGTCCTGAGCCCCTAAAAAGGAAATTTCCTATATATATTTTTTCAACAGAGGGATTTCCTATTCTGTTACCATTTGTTGCATTAAGTCGCTAATATCGCGCAAGAGGTAGCCACCATAGGTCCGTCCAGTATAAACATTGCAGGTGATTTCTTTTTTGTTTTTTTTCTTCATCCAGTTTTCTTCGGGACTAAAGCGCTTTATTATGGTTTTGCTTTTTCTGCTTTTGTGATTTCATTTGATTTTCTAATGATTTTCAACGATTTCATTTTTGCCCTTTTGACTATATTCTTTATTTGTATTTTATTTTTTATTTACTTTCCTTTTCCTTATACTGAAAACCATAAATATTTTCAATTCTGAATACCTTTTCCAATTCAAGAATATCTTTTATATTTCATGACCATTTAATTCATAAACCTATTTACAATAACATACTTTTCTATTTTCCCTAAAACAATTTTCCTAGTAACAGGAGCATACTTCCAAAAAAAAACTAAAACACGTGCAGAAAAAAAAGGCGTTTCCCGCTAGTGTGCCTAGCGCACCATGTGGTGACGCTGGGCCATGCAGTCCCCTGAATGCATGGCAGCGCTCACTAGCTGGGCCGGCCCGCATTACCTTTAACATCTATTCGTTGCTGAAGGCGAGGAATAAGAGTCGCCCTCAAATGTGGTTAGTTCTTTCACGAATTCCTTTATTATTATAGAAAAACGTAGTAGAAATGGTAAAAACGAATAAAAAAGAAATGACTATTTTTTAAAATAAATAAAAAAATGTAACTGCTGACATGCAACTGAGGAAACACGTTGAGCTTTCTTTTGGGTGATGAGGATGGACCGGGGCTGGCGTTCATCTCGTGCACAATCACATGGACACATGGGATGGGATCCACACCTTTTACAGTTGGCCGTTGCTTTCCATGTATGAAAAAGAAAACGTAACAGCAATATTACAAAAATTAGCATGTAAAAAAGATGATTTTACGAGAGAAAAATAACTACCACCACTACTTATTTTGACCTCGAAATTTGGTTGATGTCTCGCGAGTTCGTCGAGACAAATGTACATATATGGAGGACCAGTCTACACATTAATTTTAAAGAAATAAAATCAAGATAAAATCAAGAAAACTAAATTTCTTTTGGGAAATAATTCATCCCTCTTCGCAATATCCGGGCCACTTTGGATATTAACTAATTTAGGCCTTGCTGGCAAGATGATGATGATGATAATAATAATAATAATAATAATAATAATAATAATAATAATAATAATAATAATAATAATAATAATAATAGTAATAGTAATAATAATAACATCAAACACAAATAAACATAATTAAATTTAAGTACTTTAGACCAGTCAAAGCAGTAATATTTGGTCTATGTCCTACAAAAAGCGGCTTCACACATGTGGCATACCAGTGAACACACAAAAATCTAAAAAAACATGAATAAAATTTACAAAAGGAAAAGCATGAAAATATATTTAGGCAAAAATATTAATATTAAGAATTCAATGAAAAGTTCAATCTTCTATATGAAGTTAATAGTCCATCGATTATTTTTATTTTTAATCCTCCTCGAGTTCGTTCGTCTGGACGTAGTCGACGGAGCTCCGACATAGATTCCCGTTGTCTCTTTAGAGTGGTGAGGTTACGGTTTCTCGTCATGTGGCGAGATTTGGTGTCAAGTGCTTCAGATCTATGCGTTGCATGTGCGCGAAGACTTCTCGCTTGTCATCACAAGGTGAAGCCAACTCCGGTAGAGGAGCGGCGACAGTGGTGCGTCGGCGGCTTGTTCTGGCGGCAGCAGTGCTCGTTCGATGCTCTCGAGATCTTGACGTAATCTTTATTATGTTTGAGATGCTTTCTACTCCCTCTGTAAATTAATATAAGAGCATTTAGATCACTATTTTAATATTCTAAACCTCTTATATTAATTTACGGAGGGAGTACTTCCGATGAACTTTTATAATAGGTCTGATGTTTTCGAAAAAATAACTGCAAGATGCTAGTATATGCTAGGTACTGACGCTGCAAAACTGTAAAAATAGCTGACGTGTCTACAAAAATGATTTAACTTGTTCGATGACAAATAGGAGCGGAGCGCGCAAAGAAGCGATTTTTATCTCTGCTTAAAAGAGGCAACAAAGACAGCTTTTTTCCTGCCACCTTCCTCGATTCCATCCCATCATTCGCCGCATAGATCACCACTAGTCCTGGCATCCAGTTGCTCCCCGCCAGCCTCGACATGTCCGCCGCCGTCGGGTCGCCGTACCGGGCCGCCCCCGCCGCGCAGCACCGCCGGAGGGGGCGCGCCGGCGCCGTCACGCTCCGGTGCTCCAAGGTGGCCGCGGCCGCGCCCGTCCTGGACGACCTGAGGCTGCAGTGCGCGACGCCGCTCCCCCTGCTGCGGCACGTGGCGGGCGCCATGGCCGCCGGCATGCGCGCCGGGCTCGCCGCCGACGGCGCCGGCGAGCTCAAGATGATCCCCAGCTACGTCTACTCGCTCCCCACCGGGTAACTGACCAACTAACCAGCTCATTTGACTTCCTCCCTAGAGATTCAGACATTCAGTGGCTGTGGTTGGTACAGTAAACAGATGAGTTCTTCAGTCTAATTCAGTCCACCAATTAGTTTTTGTAAATTGGGCTTAGTGAGTGTTGTGAGCCACTAGATTTGATCTGGTTATGAGTGTCGGTTAATTCAGTTCGGTTCCTGAATTAATTTCTGCATCACCAATGTTGTGCTGAAGGAGTGAAACAGGGCTGTTCTATGCTCTGGATCTGGGAGGCACCAACTTCAGAGTGCTGAGGGTGCAGCTGGGTGGAAAAGACAGGCGCGTCGTCGACACCGAGTCCGAGCAAGTGTCGATCCCAAAGGAAATCATGCATGGTACAACAGAGGTAGCCGGTTCACTGATTTGTTTTCTTATGAGCTAGCTAATTGGCTCTGTTTTCAGAAAGAAAGAAAAAATACTACACTGATCCGGAAAATTAGCATATAGGTTCATATGGGCAGAGCATGTCTGACATTTCACACTGTGATTGTCGCGCTTGAACAGGAGCTGTTCGATTTTATCGCGGCGCGCCTGTCGAATTTTGTAGCCAAGGAGGGCGGCAATTTTCAGCTTCAGGAAGGCCGAAAAAGGGAGATAGGCTTTACGTTCTCCTTCCCGGTGAGGCAGACGTCTATTGATTCTGGCATTCTGATCAAGTGGACCAAGGGTTTTGCTGTCTCTGGGACTGTAAGATTTTCTTTTCCCGAATACAATTTTCTCATTTTTTGTGTATTGTACTTGGTTATTTCTAATACCAAGAGTTGCAAGACCAGAAATTCCCTGCTCAAACCAATAATATTTTTTCCCACTGAATATAGCTTATGGATTAGCATGTTAGTTTGTTTTTTCAGTTGAATTCATGCTCACGATAAAGCAATATGCTGGTCTTCGCAGGCCGGGAAGGATGTGGTTGCCTGTCTGAATGCCGCCATGGAGAGACAGGGGCTTGACATGAGTGTATCAGCTCTGGTAAGCAACCATCAAGACTGATGTTATTACTTCTAGATTATATAGGGGAAGAGCTTCATTGCCTTCCGGATTCTGTATCGGAAAATGCACATAACCACAACAAACTTTGCTCAGTATAAGAAAACAAATCTTATAAGCTAATTATGCGCAAAGCAAATGGGGTACCCAATTACCATAGTGGATACTGAACTTTGCTTTTTTGCTTGTGCTCTGCTTTGTTACGGTCTGAAATGACATCATTTCACATCAAAAGATATATAGTTTGAAGTAAGTGAAACACACTTAACAGGTGAATGATACCGTTGGAGCCTTAGCGGGAGCGCACTATTGGGATGAGGATGTGATGGTTGCGGTGATTTTGGGCACCGGCACAAATGCTTGCTACATTGAACGAACCGAGTCCATCCCAAAGCTCCAACACCTCGGGCTTGGAACAGGAAACACGGTATGCTGCAACTAGGTCACATCTTTAATTTACTCCAGTACTGAACTGAAATTGGATACATGCCATTCCAACGTTGCTTTGCAATGAAAAAAGGGAGTGAGTGGAGTAAAATGAAGTCTTTATTTTTTTAGAAAAAAAAGGCATCAATCAACCCACATAGCCATAAATTTTTGTAAAATTTGTCATTGCTGGAAATAAGAGAATAAATGCCAGCACATTGAGTTGGTTAAAGTTTGTAAAATGTGTCATTACTTGAAATAATAGAATAAATGGCAGCACACTGAGTTGGTTAAAGTTTCTAAAATGCAGATAATCAACACTGAGTGGGGAGCTTTTTCAGATGGTCTTCCACTAACTGAATTTGACAGGAACATGGATGCTGAGAGCATAAATCCTGGTGAACAGGTAAAGCACCTTTTTTTTGTTCGCTTATAAATTCATATGCTTATTTTGATGGCATGTTCTGCTTTCAATGCCTGCAGATATTTGAGAAGACGATCTCCGGGATGTACCTTGGAGAAATAGTCCGGAGGGTGCTGGGAAAGATGGCTCACGAGTCTGATATTTTCGGTCACTCGTTCGCTGACAAACTAGCTGAGCCATTTGTTCTAAGGCAAGTTATTCCACGTTGTAGCTTGCAGAGTCCAAATGTATCCTTTTCCTTTCATAATTTTGTGCCACTCTAAGCTGAACCACAAACACGATTATAGAACTCCGCATTTGTGTGCTATGCAACAAGATAACTCCGACGATCTTGGAGAAGTTGAATCAATTTTGCGCGACATCATCGGGGTAAGTTCCTGAACTTTTTCAGTCATATATGGCCATCTAAGACGGCCAGTACTTGAGCGTGCAAGTTTTGTCCATAACCATGGTTGCAGGTCAACCAATCTTCTGTAGCGGCACGAAGGGTTATCGTAGAAGTTTCCGATTGCATCGTCAAGAGAGGCGGGCGGTTGGCTGGCGCCGGCGTTGCTGGCATTCTTCAGAAGATGGAGAATGATTCCAAGGGACTGATATTGGGGAGAAGAACAGTGGTAGCGATGGACGGCGGACTTTACGAGAATTACCCTCAGTACAGGTCGTACATGGTTGAGGCTATGGCGGAGCTTCTTGGTCCCCGGGACATGGAGCACATTGTCGTCGAGCACACGAAAGACGGCTCGGGGATCGGTGCCGCACTTTTGGCAGCTGCAAACTCAAAATATGCAGCAGCTCAGCTCTCGGCGTGACGTTCATTAGGAACTTGCGAAGCGAAGAGTTTGCTCTAGCCTGCTAGGAACCTTGGGCGGGTTCCGGAAATCTATTCTCGTGCTCAGGAACATATTGCATGAACATATTGAGAGGTAGATACACAGGATCTTCCTCAGTGACTCCCAACATCACTCCTCAGTCTCAGATGGCTGAGATTACTTGTTAGTATTGGACTGTAGAATCTGGTATGTTTCAGGAATGTAAAATAATTTCAGTTATATTTTGCTAGTGTCATATTTAAATGAAGAGTGTCGTTGAACTAGCTCAAATATCTGAATGAAATACACAGTAACTTTTTTCCAACAAATTACACTTGGTAATCCCTTTTGAGATAAGATATACTCCCTCTGTAAACTAATATAAGAGTGTTTAGATCACTACTTCAGTGATCTAAACACTCTCACATTAGTTTACGGAGGGAGTATGAGCTAAGCATATCCACTTATACAACCATTTTCTACATGATCATGTAGCGCATGATCTTTTGTCATGCACAGTAATACAGACAGTAGTGCAATACCACAATGTTTTTGTTGATACAAGAACATAATGTTTGTAGTGAGCTTCTCTTATTCTATTGCATAAAGGTACAACCATACGCAGCAATAATGACATCATTGACATGTGTTGAAAGTGTAGGTAACTTGAATCGCCACACATAATGTTGTGCTTTCTGTATCACTCGGACAGCGTAGCGTTGGGCCACACGTGTGGAACAGCTCTGAGTTTCAGGTCATACCTTCTGCATACCGTAATCCCAAATTTCTCGGACATGTCAAATGAAGCGAGGCTAGACGCATCAGGAAGCTTCCAGTCGAAGTGATACAAAAAGTTTGCCAATGCCATCACCGCAAGTGACAAGGTGAACTGAATCCCGGTGCATTGCCGTCGCCCGGCCCCGAAGGGAATGAATTCGAAGTATGTTCCATTGAAGTTCACCTGGGTGTCCTCAAACCTCTCTGGCTTAAACTCTCCAGGACTGTTCCAGTTTTTGGGATCTCGAGATATCGCAAAGACGTTAATGTAAACATTGGTGCCTTTAGGTATGTCATAACCCATAACTGTACAATCCTCTCTAGCCGCGCGCGGGATCAGAGGAGAGGCCGGATGCAACCTAAGGACCTCCTTGATGACCAACTTTGGGTACCGGAGTTTAGTGAGATCACTATTAGTAATGACAGACCGACCTTCACCTAGCACCTCCCTTACTTCTTGCTGTGCCTTGGCCATAATTTCTGGGCTGCGCACGAGCTCCGACATAGCCCACGCCAAGGTGGTTGCTATTGTTTCGGTGCCACCTGCAAACATGTCCTGCAAACGAAGGTCATGGAATTAAAGGGCCATGAAACATCTATATGATTCAACAAAAGAACAATATGTGAACTGGGATATGTCCTATTCCATTCATGCATAGTTGCACAACTATTACTTAATCGTCTAAGTATTGACCACAAATAGCTTTTTTCTTGTTTTTTTTTGAAGAGGAGGAATAAACCCGGCCTCTGTACAGTCATTTTATTATATTATTGCTAATCCCCCCCCTCCCCACACATTTTCGCAGGGTGAGCAAATCTTTCTTCCAATTAAATTTTGGCAAGTCAGCTTTTACGCAGGTTTACGTAGATTGTCTACGTAGAAGTAGCAAAGCCCTTTCCCTCAAAAGAAGTAGCAAAGCCCACAAAACAAATACATGGATTAATCCAAAGTCAGAATGAACAATACAAGCTTTAGCACGTAGTTGAGATTAAGAGAGATACTCACAGACAAGACGGCGCCTATAGCGTCCGTGGTTAGAGGGATTTCCAAAGAGCCCTCCTGCTGAAGCCTGAGCAGCGCGTCCAGGAAGTTCTCATCGACGCTGGTGCTGCTACAGGCACCATCGCTTGCAGCAGCTCGCGCGGCCTGCCGCTCCTCAATGATGCCTGAAATGATGCGCTTGATGCAGGCGGAGCTCTTCTTTATGCTGCGGCCGCCATGGCTCAGCCACCGCGCCAACCGCGACGACGGGAAGATGTCGACGAGACAGGAGCCGCCCATCAGCTCCAGCGCCCTGCCCAGCTCACGGATGTACTCGCGCTGCCGCGCAAACTTGCCGCCGAAAACCGCCCGCGTCACCACGTCGTTGCTCAGCGCCGCCACCTCCTGACTGAAGTTAATAATGGCGGCGCCGCCGCTGGTCGAGGCGGCCGCGGCGGCGGCGATCGAGCGGAGGAGGCTGCCCACCTCCTCCGCCCTGATGCCCTCCATGCGCTTCACCTGCCTGGAGCTGAGGAACTCCACGACGCACACCTTGCGCATCTGGCGCCAGTGCTCGCCGTAGGGCGCGAAGACGACGTCCTTGCCGCCGCACCCGAAGATGTCCTGCGTCGGGGTCCCCGGCCGGGTTGCGAAGGCGAGGTCGTTGGTCCTCATCACCAGCTCCGCGGCCTCCGCGCTGGAGACGATCACGGTGGGGACCTCGCCCAGCACCAGGTGCATCAGCGGGCCGTGCTGGCGAGACATGTCCATCATCCTGCGGTGTGGGAGGAGGCTGACGACGTGGTGGAGGCTGCCGATGACCGGGAGAGTCCATGGCCCAGGAGGTAGCTGCTGCTTCTTGAACTTTTTCGTTCCGCCGTTGAGCTTGAGAAACCAAAGGGCAAGCACCGTGGATAGGGCTATGCAACACAGGCTTAACCACTCCTCCATGGCAGGCAGGTTGGCGAGGGTGCACTCGTAACCAATCTGTGTTGGCTTGCTTATCATATATGTGCTTCAACTCTGTAGAGAATGATTTGGTGCATCGATGATTGATTGATCGTGCACTAGGCATCTATATATAGGTACAAGGGGTGCGACGAGTATCTTGTCTCCTAAGATACACGTACATACAGAGGGAGATAAATACTACAGGTATTGCATATATACAGGACCCAGACATATGTACATGTACACATGTTCAACAAACTCTACCACCTTCGTCCCATAATGTCCCATAATATAGGACGGTTTTTGCAAGCTAGTCAAAAACGCTCTTATATTAATTATGGGACTAAGGGAGTAGTTCAGTTTACAAAAACGTTTTATGTTATGGGATAGAGTGAGTAGCTAGTAGCCATTCGCTTAGGAGAAAAATACTTTTGTGGAACATGGTTGCTACTGTTTTGGTGATTTTTATTTTATAAAAGATTATAATTGCTCTATCATGCTTTTGGCTTCTCCTAGTCCCACACAGCTCGAGTATGCATGGATGGTGGTTGGTTAAACCGACTGTAGTGACATTTTATCTGCCATCAGCATTTTTTTATCTCAGGGCTCGATTCGACCCAGAGGGCTCATTTATCTGCCATCGGCATGTTTTCGCCATTTTCTTTAGCTCAAAAAATCTGCCATGGAATGAACCAAACATGTGCCATGGCAAAACAAATGAGTCAAAACTGCTACCATGGCAACACAAATGAGGCAAAGTGTTGCGATGGCAACAAGGAGCTAACGTGCTCATTTCGCTGCCACACAGCGGTGCTTAGCCAGTTTGTTGCCTTGGCAACATTTATCAGCAAACCTAAAGCCGGTGTTTCCTATGTACTCCCTCCGTCCGGAAATACTCGTCATCAAAATGGATAAAAAAAAGATGTATCTCCAGAAATACTCGTCATCAAAATGGATAAAAAAAAGATGTATCTACTGATACATCTTTTTTTTATCCATTTTGATGACGAGTATTTCCGGACGGAGGGAGTATAGAACAACGACGAGCAATTCTCTTCTATTCGATTGGCGTTAAAAAATGTAGCACATATAGACTTCAGGTTTGTTCTGTTCATGTTCTCAGAAAGTCCAACACCATATACATTACTATTAAAAGCTTGCAGGTTGACGGTACCTGAGATGTTTCATTCATAAAGTCTCACAAACCACTCTTGTATCACATGTTTGCTACGGGTGATACCAGAGCGGTTTGTGAACACAAAAATCTTCGGAACACTCAAACTAGAACCTCCTACTGGTAACATATATGATGTTGGACTTACGAACAAAACCATCCTGAAGTTTGAGTGGGCAGCATTTGTTGATGCCAATCAAATGTACTCCCTCCGTCCCATAATATAAGAACGTTTTTGACACTAGCGTAGTGTCAAAAACGTTCTTATATTATGGGACGGAGGGAGTAGATAATTATTCATTCATGTTTATCTATGTAGGAAACCTTCTAAGTTTCATCAAGTATATAATATTGGATCGACAACTATAGATAAGTAAGGAAATGAGCGAACATGTTACCAACAAAAATGAGCCCAATATGCTTCCATGGCAGCATTTTTGAGCCAAATGCTCATTTTGGCATTAGTGAAATTTTGATCTCAAGGCTACCATATGAACTATAGTATCTTGTCTAAACAGTGCATACTAGCTTCAATGAATGAACGTGTTCAACACTACTATCATGTTTAAACTATACTAGTTTTATGGAAACAACATGTTCAACACTACAATGTTTAACCATAATATAAAGCATTTTTAAGTTTAATACTCCAAACATATCGATAAAGTACCAAAGGGCCTGACCAACTACTCTTATTTTGCATCATCATCATCTAGACATATGGTACTCAGGAAGAGAAACGGCCCTGCATGTCTATGGTGGAGCACGACTATCAACTTCTCTTAAATTTCGACGTTGTACTCCTCAAGTAGTTGCCTCCACCCGTTGATGATGAGGCGTGCATCTTCAGGACTCATATGCCACATCTTTATGAGATTGACCCATATCCATGTGTTGCAAAAGAATCCTCTCTAATGTGTGTACACATAAATATGTGAACAACGAGTCTCATATATATGCCAAATTGTAAACATACAGAGATTTATATTATAATCTCGATTTCGATTCCTAGGTGTGTGTGAGGTTCCTTGAACATCAGCCAATTTGTAGCCACATA